GGGTTATTGTCTGCAGCTCCAGTGTGGAGCTTGGGAATCACAGCCTTGCTCAGTGGTGCTGGCTTGGGGCAATGCCCCGTGGCTGAGTGGCAGCAGCGCCCTGAGCCCTCCCCTCCCTTTGCTTTGCTTGCTCTGTCTCCAGTCCCAGCACTGCTTAGCTCTCAGCTCCCTGCAGGCACAGGCAGGTAGCGGGAGCCAACTGGGGGTGTGCTGTGTGGGCAGTGGCTAGGCTGAGGGAACAAGGAAGCTCTCTGTCCCTGGTGACAGAGCTCCCCCATCCTGGTGCTGCTCAGTTCCCAGCTCCTGGGGGAGCCAGAAGCTGAGCAGTGCTGGAACCAGGGGCAGAGAGCTCCTCCAACCCCTCAGCAAGCAAAGTGAAGGGAGAGCTCAAGGCACTGCTCCCGCTTGGCCATGGAGCATCACCCCAAGCCAGCACCGCCAAGCCAGGCTGCAATCCTGAGCACCAAGAGGCTGGAAGCTGTCCCCAGCTCCAGGACAGCTACTGCCCTGCTTCCCAGAGCCGAGGCCTGACCCCTGTACCCCCTGCCTGCCTGGGGCTGGTACCAAAGGAGCCTGGAGCTCCCCCGGTAAGGTGGGGCAGAGGGCCAGAAGCAGTTCTGGACTCAACTGGCCCTGTTAGGAGTAAATTTGCTCCCAATGCAGGGATACATGTAGATGCGTTCCCAGGTGCAGTTTACTGGGCCTTATTTTAATGCACAGTAACTTTAAGGTACATTAAATGCATATGTATATGTGCCCACCAGTGCTGAAATTCAGAGTCAATTTATTTGGTATACCCAAAACTACATGGCAACAAAACAAGGAAGCCTAATTAGGTGGTCAGTTCTACCTATTAAGAAGCACATTTTTCAGGTTTTTTGTTTTTTCTTTACTTTTTCAGCTGTTCACAATCTGGCACTTCTGCTATCTCCTCTGCCCCAGAAAATAAAGAATTGACCAGTTTAACAACGGTCATCTTATCAGCTGAGAAGAGAAGAGATGATAAGCTACTGTCATTTATAGTCTGTCCTGCAACAACTGTGCACTGGACCCCAATCATTGATGTTTGGGAATGGTTCAATTGTTACATGTGGCTGCACCTGAAAATACAACTGAGCAAAGACAAGTTTCATGGACTTTATGACCATGAAGAGACTAGATCAGTCAGTCTAACCGCCCATATACCACAAATCATTAGTTTTCACCCACTTCGCTTGATATTGAACCCAATATAATGCCCAGAACCCCTGGAACTGTGATGTGATGAGAAATGCGCAGATGATTCTTATGAAGAGATCCATCCTGTGTCAGAAGGTTAAAAAAAAAACCCTCTGGCAATATGAGCTGAGGAAAAACTCTTTCTGGACCGCAAACCTGGAAATCAGTTTGACCTTGAGTATGCAGGCAGACCCATCAGTCCAGACCTCCACCTGACTCAAGAAGTCTACGGGCCAACGAGAGGCTATTCTAATTATTCCCTATTTTGTATTTGTGCATTTGATTTGTCTTTCTTAAATGTTATACTTTGTACTTGTCTTTACTGAATTTCATCTGGTTGATTTTGAACATTTTTTTCCCCAACTTTTCACGATAATTTTCAAGTCTGATCTTGCCCTCCAAAGTCCTTGAAACTCCACCCAGCTTAGCATCACCTGCACTTTAAGGGCAGAATTACATTTCCCTGCTGTGTGCCTACATGACAGTATTCTAGTTATGTAAGTGGTGTTTTTGACACTTAAACACCTGCACTGTGGTCACATAAGCATGTGTGAGCAGACTGACTGTGAGCAGTAGGCCATATACTGGCCAGGCAGGTGTACAGCTACATATGCTTGGCTATTCTGGACATGCAAGTGTGCATCAGTCACAAAAGTGTAGCCAGACAGAAATGCATGACTAACAGTGTGGGTGGAATATAACAGGGTTGTCTGTCTGTAGCAGGACACTAAGGTGCCTGCTACTGGAGGCAGTGTTACGAGCTCAGCTGCCAATCACCAGGGCAGCACAGGTGCAGGTTGCCGTGACAACCAGTCTGGTCAGCTGACCGGAAGGGGACAGGGCCTGGCCTTTATAAACAGCATAGGCCGAGGCCCGAGGCCAGCCCTCTTTGGCTGCCAAGGAGGTAGGAGGTCAAGAAAACCCCGATGGGGATGTATATGGAAACAAGCCAGGTTGGCTGGGAATTTATGTTATAGCCCAGGGGTTTTGTGCTTATGGTTTTGGCTGTGTCACCGGAGCATAGGGTGAGGCTGTAGGGATTGGAGGAGGCCTCAGTGGGGTGTCCCGACCCTGGCCCCAGGGTGGGCGATTATCAGGAGGAGCCCCAGTGGGGCATGAGACCCAGGAAAGGGGTCTGGGGCCAGGTAAGGCTGAGGCCGCCTGAGCCCAATTGGGAGGAGCCCAGTGGGTGTAGGACCCGAGGAAGGGGTCTGGGGGCCAGGTAAGGCCGAGGCCGATTGAGCCCCGAGGGCGAGAAGCACGAGCAAGGCCTGAGTGCGGGCGGGGAGCGTGAGAGACACGAGACAGGCCCCAGTGGGGCACTGTCTGTACGAGGGAAGCCCTGGGAGGGGGACGAGCTTATTGGGGAGCCCCAGGAGGGGGGCCAGCTTATTGAGGCCCCAGTGCGGCGAGGGCCATGAGAGAAGTGGGGGGGGCACCTGTGACAGCAAGGCAGGCACCGTGCCAAGGAGGGCAGGAAGGCAGCCTCCCATTAATGAGATAGAGGGTGTGTTCAAGACCCGATTTGGCACGGAAGGTAGGGGCGCTAGGGGAGGTCACGGACCCCCAGGCCCCGTCCTGCCACACTGTCCCTTTAAGGAATATGTCAGCCCTGAGGGTGCGTTCTTCAGTGAAATGGCTCTGGAGGAAAGGGGGCCTTTCTTCTGGCATATTCCTTTGCTTGTAATGGGACAAAAGCTTTGCACTGCTCTTCATCTATTTTGTCCAATGACTAGTAAATGCAAGGGACAGTGGCTCAGCTTTGAAAGGAGGACTGGAGAAGGAACTGGAAAAATGCTTAATGTGTGATGTGGTGGTTTGACCACCATGCTGGAAAGTCAGAGAGACATGTTAAAACACACTGTGGGCCTAGGTCTGCTTCCTAGTCAATTTTCCTAACCACTCAGTTACTGGGGCTAAAACAGAAGAGGGTCTGCCTGTTCCCCGTGCTTACACTCACGAATGTACAGCTAGAATGTATTCCTGCCCAACCAGTCTTGAGAGTACCCGTGTTCAGTCTACATGCACATGTTTATGTGTTTATAGTGCTGGCATAAATGCTCCAAATGCCTAAGTATGTGGCTAGAAAACTGTAATTCATCAACTTCATAGTTTTTTTTTTTTTCCATTACTGAGAACATACTGTGTTCTGCAGCAGTTTAATTATAACTTATTTAGTGAGGTTTTGTATGCAAGTGTAAAATGAGGAGCTTTTTTCACATTATGATTGGGAGGGAGTGGGGAGATTCTTATGTTTGAATAAATATGGTACATGTCCCTAGTTGCTTATGGCAGTGGGGCAGTGTCTAAAGCCTTACTAAACTGAAGGTATCACATCTACATTTCTCTCTTTTCCATTAAGCCAGTTATCCTGGCAAAAAAAAGGAGATTAGACTAGCTTGATCCAATTGGTTCTTGATAAAGCCAGGTTGGCTGTATTTTGTTTTATTAAGGTAGTCACAAGAGGAAGATACTCCAAGAAACTTCTCTAAATCACCAGATATGCCTCTAAGTACAGCTGCTGCTCCTTCTAGAATATCATTAGGTCTTAATCCTACAAAGAGTTAGATTTATGCATAACTTTACACACCTGTCTTTACGTACATTGGGTGCATCTATACATGCTCTTTACTGCAATTAGCTCTGCAGTAAAGTGTCACTGTCTACTTGTGTGCCAGTATTAGGTTGCAGTAAATATTAACTCCACCATAGGATAGTACTGTCAGGGATAGTACTATCTTACAGCAGAGTAATTAAGTGCAACGAAATGCATGTGCAGACAGTGTCAGGGACTGGCTGGGGCACGAAGGTGATAAAGTATGGGGGCTGCCTGCTGCACGGTTCTGTACTTTGGCTCCCCCTGCCCCAGCTAGCCCCTCTGCCACTCAACACCGCCCCCTGGAGCTCAAGGCTGACCTCCCAACCTGCTGTCAGCCTGGAACTGCTCTATCCTGCTCAAACTGCTGCTGTCCCAGGCGCATGTGTAGACACTGTGCAAGGGAGCAGGTGACCCTGGCTCAAACTGCTCCAGAGTTTATCGCATTGTGTTAATTTCACATATAGATGCACCCAATGCCTTGGACAATGAAATTATCCACGTTCTTGTCTCTTTGTAGGATCAGGACTTAATTTTACAGCAACTTCAGCAACTGCTGTCCTTTTCTTGTTCAAACATATTAAGTTAAATATAAAGTTAAAACAGTCAAATGTTAGAAGTGAAAATTGGAACCAATGTCATTCACACCTAGCTTACCCTAAGAAACAGGGTGACTAAAGGAATGGTGTTCTTTAAGGTGGAAAGGAAAGAGTAGGTCTTAGATAGATGGGAAGGAGGAATTCCAGTATGGAGAAAAAATTAAATTTCCTCTTGTATAGTCTTATTCCATGGAATTGGCAGAGTATATACAGGATTAATTGGAAAAAATAATGTTAATAACATTAATAAATTACATCCCAAGATGGCAAAAAAACATCCTTTGGGTATAACAAAAGAGAAAATAATTGTGTTCCAGAAGATATTAAAAACACTTACCTGAACATCATACTTTCCAAGTTCTCAAAGTTACTTTATTTTAATTAAATTATCTGTATATTAATCCATAAATCCCCTTTGAACTTGGATGTTAGAAATCATATAAGATGATAATTAACCAGTAGTATAAAATTCCACAGTGTGCTAAATGCTTGTCTTAGCAAGCAGTGCTTTCACTTGTTCAGCTTGCTTGGACATGGGCAAACAAATTCTGTTCTAATTAAATTGTTTGAAGAATTAAATGTGTTACCTGTTCACAGTAGCATTGACTTGATTATGTGTATATCCCCAGGAATTAAATGTCCCTTCCTTGTTATTATTTTGACTTAGCTGCAAAAAAGAAAAAACATTTCTATAAAAATACTACTAATATAAGTTTTATAATGTGCTAAGATTGAAAATAAAAAAACAAACAAATCCCACCTGCGTTCTTCTACTTGTATTCTTTGACAATCTAAGATCTGCCAGTAGTTCCACTAGGCTTTTGTAAGAGTCCTGTAAAACAGATCAACCACAGTATTTACTCCGTGTAAAAGTACTTTTTCCAGACATGATCATCTATTTCTCTTGGGTATTTTGATCTAAGTTTTCCTTGGTTTTAACTATGCAACCCCACTGACTTCACTGGGCTGAATTTGGTTTTTAACAAAGTATTTAAAATGCTTTGTGTGAAGAATTTGCGCGTGTTAAAAATGCGGGCTAGAGAAGTGGTTCTCAACCTTTTTTGTACCAGGACCCATCTGTAAACATCAATGGCCAGTCCCAACCCAGTGCCCCTCACTCCTGACCTGCTACCTCCCACCCCAGGCCCCAGCCCTCTGGTATGTGGAGCAGGGGGTGGGTGTGTGGGGCAGAGGGGTGGGCCCAAGTAGCCCTGTGCAGGCTGAAACCCTGACAACCTGTGAGAAAAAAGCCCAAGTAGCCCTTTGCAGGCTGAAACTCTGACCCTGAAACCTGTAAGAAAAAAGCCACTGTTTCCCACTTTTTTCTCCTTTAAAGAAGAATCCATTTTTAAAGTTTGTTGACTCTCCTTATGCCTAAAGAAGGGTGTTTGTAACCAAAAGCTTACAAAGAACAATTTTTTCAACTATTTAGTTGGTCTAATAAAAGATATCACATCTACCCAAAGAACCTTGTCTGCCTATTTCCTTAGACCAACATGGCTACAACCAACAATCCATTTTTAAAGTCTGTTTGCGACCCTTTCATATATTCTTGTGACCCACCAGTTGAGAAATGCTCTGCCAGAGCACACTGGCAGTCGTGTTCAGAAGGAAATGCTCCTCTCTGGGTGTGTCTACGTGAGCCATTTTACTGCACAGTAAACTTATCTACTGCACAGTAAAGTGTTACTATCTATACACACACACCATTTACTACACAGTAAATTAGTCTACTGAGAGGACTGCTGTGCTTCTGGATCAGCTCCCAATCAGCCCCAGGCTGGGCAGGGATTTCCACTTGGGACAGGTCCAGGCCATACCCCAGCTGCTCAGGGAAATCCCTGTCCAGCAGGAGGCTGGCTAGGAGCTGCCCCAGAAACAGGACAACTCCCAGCCAGCCCCTGGCTGAACACAGAAGCCCCACTGGACATTAGGCTTGTTCCCATGTTCGGGGGCTGGAAAAGCAGTGCAGTGGCAGCTGTCTCCCCTGCACATCAGGACCCCTCCCAATGTATATGGGCCAAAGAGTTAGCTGCTCCTGCAGCTGGCAGAGCTCTCCTGGCCCTGTGAGCCTGGGACTGGCTCTGTACACCCTGCCAGCCCCTGGGCTAGCACCTCAGGGGAGCCTGGAGTTCCCCCTAGCTACTGCAGGGGACCAGAGCAGGGTAGGAGCAACCCTGTCCTGGGCTGCTCCCACTGGGAACAGATTTGCTCCCAACAGGATGCTGGTAAAAACATGCTCCCAAGTAAGGCTTACCGTACAGTGGGTGTGTCTACACATGCACCATTACTGCGCAGTAACTTAGGTTACTGCGCAGTACAGGCTTGTGTCTACATGTGTGCACACATACTGCACAGTAACTATGGAGACTTAGGCCAACTTGATGCTACACCTACATGATGCAGGTAACAAATTTGTTTGAGCAGTTACTGTGCAGTGAGGCATGTGTAGACACCTTATTGTACAGTAAACTGTTAGTGTGGACTGACTTGGGACTAATTTTAGTCCCAAGACAGTCCACACGCAGCGTTACTGTGCTTTAACACTTGCATGTGTGGACACCAGTGTAAAAGCTGCTTACTGTGCAGTAAATACATGTGTAGACATGCTTAGTATGTTACTGTACAGTAACACTTTATAGGATTAATAGCATGTGCAGACATGCCTTCTGGGTAGCAGGGCTAAAATTGCTTCATCCTAGAAGTTTCCATCTTCATCCAGTTTTAGACTCTGAAGTCTTGTGAAACTTGTGGGTAGACAGATCCCTGACTTGGTGTGCCCGGCACCCCGCGCTGCAGCCACCTGCCAGCCTGGCAGCGGGGCCGGGTTACAAGCTGGTGCTGAGCGCCGGTAGGGGGGAGGGGAGAAAGCAGCCCCTCCCCACCCCACGCCTGGTGCCCTGTGCTGCAGCTGCTTGCAGCCTGCCTGGGGCTGCGAGCAGCTGCAGCGTGGGGCACCGGCCATGGGCGGGGAGGGGCCACTTCCCCCCACCTGTGCTCCTTCC